GCTCGGGCTTGCTGGCGCGCAGCCCACGACCAGCAGAGAGTGACTTGCGCAGACTGGATCTGTGTCACGTGACACGGGGGCAGGGGCTTGCCATTCGGACCGTGCAGAAGCCGCGTTTTGTAGGCAGTCAGCATAATGATGGCTAAGGTATTAAGGAGCAATTTTTATCTACGATGCTCTTTGTGCATACGTAAACAACGGTTTAAATTAGGGTTGAAAGGAGCTTGATAATTGAAAATAATGCCTAGGTGGATGTAAGCAGCTATGAAGGATTTTTTTTACAGTTTTTAAAAGGTAGTTATTTTGCTTGACAACTGAGTCTCTAAGCTCATTCTCAAAAACGACACTTCCTTTTTGGGCTTACGAATATGATATAAAAAACAGCAAAACTGGGCCATTTACCCAAATTGCAATAATTAGGCTGACACTAAAACTCTTAGGAGGCGCGTATAAAAGGGCTCCTGAACCATTTTGCCCCTTTTTAGGTTTGACTTCGCAAACAGTTTGGTTGTGGTTCACTAAAATACATCTTACTGTTTAAGAAACGTGACGTATTGCTGATGTTGGGACTGCATTCATGCTGCGCCTGTGACATGCGGAGAAAGTTCGTCACGAAACTAAATAAACCCCGAGCGTATCAAAACATCCAAACTCGATGTTCTTAAAAATTCTGAACAGACAACTTAAAGAAAACACTGAAAATCGTTTTGCGATGTGTTTTTCAGGGAGTTTATTACTCTCGCTTCCATGATTTACTTGAGTTCCAGGAAAGTATACCTCCTTAATTTAATTAAGGTTTCCTGCTTCTCACTAAAGGTAAAATAACCGTACACTGTTAAGTTGGAGACTAATTGCAGCCACTTTATTCACAAGACGAAAATTTGCTTGTGGATATAAAATGAAAACCGATCTAGTAGCCACATTAAATGTGGACGGTTATATACTTTAGGTTTTGTTCTTACGGAAAAGAGCGTATGCCGGCCACTTGTCCTAATGACTTTATAAGTACAACTTTTTTCTTCGAATCCCAATGTCTTTATTATGCCTAAATAAAGCAAGAAAATTACTAATCATTGTCCGTAGAGTTTAGCAGTAGTAGTAGTAGTATAATGCCGAAAATAAACCAAACACCTTAACGTATGCTTACTTGAAGGCAGTTTACTTCCAGAAGGAATAACAATTGTTTTGGGAGATGGTGGCGTTTTCTTCTTCGTTCGCGGGTCAATGATTGTTTGGGGGGCTGGTGGTTGTTTGGTCTTCCTACCACGTGAATCCACGTTTGCAGCCTTCTTTACTTTTTCGACGGAAGGATGCAGTTTATCTGAATCAACAGAGGATATCGAACTGATTGAAGTGTGGCTGCCGCGGCGGCCAGCACCACCACGTGCCTTTGTTTCGTCTTTTGACTGTTCACCTGCTAACCGCTTGCGATAGGAGTTCATTCGCTCATTGAACTCACCACTCTGTCCTACCGTGATTACAACATTCGTCTTGCCGCCGAAGGTGGAACTATCGCTGCTGGAAGCTGAGATGGAGCGGCTGGGCGGCAGCCTACGGATAGGTTTCTTAATATCATCCGAAGGAGACCACTGAGTCTGATTTGAGCTGGGTGGCGTTGCAGGCTGAGAGTCCTGTTGAACAGGAGTAGGAATGAGCGAACCATCGGAATTTTGCAGTTCACTTTGAGTTTCTCTTTTTATCGAATGTCCGGCGAACTCGCTGCTAAAACTGTTCGTACTACTGCCTCCGCCACTTTCATGGTCACCTGAGCCTGGGACAGGCTTCGGTGAAGACGGGACAGGCCTGGGTGAAAGTTGGACAGGACTGGGTGGAGCTGGCATGTCAATATGCCTTGGATAAAATGTGCTGGTGTCTGTCGTTAGAGATGCAACTGAGTAGTTTCCTTCCAGCGCGGGTTCATCGCCATGTAGCGTGGAGGCCATAAAGGCAGGATTGTTCACCTGCACGTTGTCTAGAGAAAGACTGGAATCCGAGGAGCTGTAATCCGACTCATACTCCGAGTCGTCGGGTAATTCAGTCATGCGGTTCTCTAAGCCTGCAGCAGCAGCACCAGCTCCAGTTCCTGCTGGGTTGCTCGAAGCCATGTTCTCTGCAATGAGAAGGGGAGCATTTAAAACGTAAATTATAAGATCGGGGAAAATGTATAGTTTACTTATTCCAGATCAAGTCTGCCTAGTTGCTGGTATTCATATGCTAAGTAATGTACTATATGTCCATCAAACTCATTCAGATCTTTAAAATCACGTGAAATTTGAGTTACTTTTAATGTGGATACGATGTGCATCCATAAGTTTTCCAATTATTACACCAAATCATGCTACTCCATTTCGTCGACTCACAACATATCCTTCGGTCGTTTAACTGATTAGTCCAACAGAACCTTATCAAATATATTGGTAAGCACAAAATATTTTTTCACCGCTTAAATGCAGACGGAGCGTTTAAGAGCCAAAAAACGCATTAAAACATAGTTCACCAA